CCTCCAGAGATTCTGAGGTCTCCTTCAGTTAAGAGCCTTCTTGAGGCTGGTGGAGTGGCTCAAGTGGTAGTGCGCCTGTCTAGCAAGCGTGAGGCCTTGAGTTCAAACCCCAGTACCGCCAAAATAATAAAAGTACTACCAATAAAGTTTGATTGAAAAAAAAAAAAAAACGCGAGCCTTTCTGGGTGTCCAGGCCCTTAGTATCTGGTGGAAACTGTACAGGTCCATGCCTAGGACCCTGCAGGAGACTAGGATCCCTGGGCTGGGCTGCCCATCCTGTCTTCCCTGAGCCATTTATCCTGCTGAGAATGGACCGGCTGTGGCAATGTCAGGCAGATGGTGTGGACTGAGCAGAGCCAAAGGTGCACCCTCCCTGCTCTTCTCCCTCTGCCTTCTTCCCTTGGCTTCCTGGAACCTGGGACTGCGTCTCTAGGCCCTGGGAATCCAGTGTGTCCCAGCTTCAGGAGTTGAGCTGAACCCACAGGAATATTCCCACCCCCCAAATGATGTGGGGGTGGGTGCAGAGCCTTGGAGGGAACAAGTGCCCTCTAGAGAAGACCGCTCTCTGGAGGCGCCCTCCACCAGGCATCACTGGTGCCTATTAGAGGCAGCTGAGCAGAGGTCACTTCTGGGCTGAGAGTTCAGATCCTTCACTTGCTGCTGGCTACCCCCAAGGGACAGGGTGCAAACCTTGGGCCTTAAAGTCTGCCTTTTGTGTGGGCTGTCAAATCCCAGGTGGAGTAGGCTGGTCTCTGCCTACCTGGGAGGCCTCAGTGCCCCTCTCCTTCCTGGCCCACAGGCAACCACACTCCCACTTACTTCATGTGCACAGAAGCTGTGATGTGGAGCTGTTGTGGTGTGCTGGGACCTTCAGAGGCCCTGTGCTGGCAGTCCAGAGACTGCAGTTAGCAGCAGATAATGAAGACCTCAGGCAACCTCGTTAGAGAGGGCAGCTGCCATCTCCCAGCTCATCAGTCTGGGAAACCAGTGCCTTGCCTTCCCAGGACTGCTGCCCTGGCAGGCCAGCAGTGATGATCGTCACAGGGCAATTGATCAAAGGAGAAGGCACCCTCAGAATGAGGTCCAGGAAGGCCTCTAGGGATGGAGTTGAGGCCTAAATTATATGGAGTGAAATGCCAAGGGGGACTGGTGGGGATTGAGGCCGCCTTGGGTGCCGGAGCGTGGGTTGGGGTCACGGGTCACACAGAGCCTTGGCAGCTGGGGAGATGTTCAGGCTGTGGGCTAGAGCGAGGGGGAAGGGGTGACTTGTTCTGATTTGGTTTTAAGAGACACTTGGCTATTGTAGAAAATTTTGTAAGAGCTAAACCAGCACAGATGGTCTGTGAAGACCAGAGGTCACGCCCAAGCAGGGGCTTCCTCATCCCCAGAAGGGGTGATAACGGGGCCTTCTGGGGTCCTGGGAGGATCCAGCTGGCACCCATGGTCCAGGGAGTCCAGGACTTGGAGAGCCCTGGCAGGCAAGGTGTGTTGGTGGGCAGGCCCCTCCCTCCACACCCTTGCACACACTCAATGAGCCTCACCGTCCTAGTCCTGTGAAGCCATCAGAGCGGCAGGTGCAAGATGGCCCATGGCAGTGTTTAGTCAGGCAGCCCAGGCCCTCAGACCTAGGACAATGTGCTCAGCCATCCCTGCCTGCCTCCAGCTCACTCCACTGACCTGCCCAGCAGACCCTTCCTTTTCCTGCTGACTGATTCATTGGTCCTCATTGGTTCTCCATTTGGAGCAGGAGGGAGAACCAGCCAACCTTCAGGGTTGTAGGCTTCTTCTATCCTATCCCCTGTACTAAACCAAGTGGCCAAGGGGAGGGCCAGGGTTTGGGAAGGGTTCCTGCCACAGAGGGTGGCATACAGCAGAATGTTCTCTGGGGCAGGGTGTTCTCAGTACTTGGGTGACTTGGGGACCTCCAGGCCTCACTGGCACTAACTGTGGAGACTGCTGGAAGAGCTTGGGCTGCATCCAGATTTAGGTCTGAAACAAAAGCCCCCATCTCCCTGCAACCTCTTACTCCCCTCCCAGGAGCTGGGATCTGTCTCCAGCATGGGGCTAAAGGTGGGGCTGCATACCCCCTGCCTTGCCCACCTAAGCAGGTAAACCCCTCACCCCACAGGAAACTCGGAACACCACTGGGTGAGGCTACCTGCACAACCCTGTCCTCCCAAGGCCAAAACTGGCAGGATAATTCATTCAACATGTACAAAGCGCCAGCATGGACACCAGGAGGAACCTGTGACCAGGAGGGAGCCAAGACAGCCCCAGTGGTGGGCACCAGTGGGACACAGCCACCCTGTCAGTACCCTCTGGGCCTATCTTCTCTCACTGTTTTCCCAGTGTTCTTAACTTCCCTAGTCAGAAAGCAGATAATGGATCCTTGCTTATTCAAGTTGGTGACCATTTCCCTGAAGGTGGCTCTGTACGTCTTACCGCTCTGCGGAAGCACATGCCACCAGCAGGCAGGCTACAAGAACTGGCCTTCAGGCTGTGCTCTGTGACATCACAAGCTCAAACCTACTGCCTCTTTTCTGTGGCTCCTGCACCATAGGCAGTTGAGAAGCGTCCTGTTCTGCAGGCTGGCAAAATGGGCACCCATGTGCTATCACACAGCTGTGGATCTGTTTCTCACCTTGTCTATGGTATGTCTGGGGTTATTTGACATGAGGGATGAACCTGTCCTTTTTCCCAAGCAGGGGCAACCTTCCATGAGTGTGTTTGAGTCACCCAACCGTCTCCCCACTGATGCTCCAACGCACACTAACTTTTTGCCCGTGCCTGGGTCTGGCGTTTGGGGTTTTTTTGTTTGGTTGGTTTGGTTTTATGAGACAGGGTCTTGCCCTATAGCCCAGGCTGGCCTTGAACTCAAGATCTTCCTGCTTCAGCCTCCCCAGTGCTGGGATTACAGACATGACCACCATGCCCTGGACCTATTTTGGATCCTCACTTCTTTTTTTGTTTTAATTTATTCTGTGCATTTAAAGTGGAAGTTAAAACACACAAACCACAGACTGCTTTAGATACAGTACTGACCAATTTTAAGACAGAACCACTGATCGTTTACACACATCTTTAAGTTTACATCTTGTTATAGTAAGGCACTTAACACACACAATCCTAATTCCTTATAACCGACTCGTCAAGCAGTGAGATGGGTCCTCATTTCTGTCTGGCAATCATAGGGTGTTCGTCCCTCAGCACCACACCTTTTTCTTTTCCAGGCTGTGATTTACGTGCAGTAAAGTGATCACTTCACCCCAGAACCCTGTCTGTCCTTCACTCTCTCATCAGGGTGCTGTGAATTTTCCACATGACATAGTACTCTTTGGGGTTTGGCTGCTCGCATGGCCACGTGTGCACACGATCATGCTTGTGTGTGTACATGTGCATATACAGTGCTCATGCCTGCAAACATACATTTACAATGCAGCCCTGTGTGGACATCTTTCCATAGACATTGCGTAATGTCTTTGCTTCATTATTGTTCCCTCCAATCGAACGGCATCCTCAGGCTCTCTGGGAGGCACACAGCAGTGGGTGGACCTTGAAGAGCTCTGCTCACTGGAAGAAGCCAGTCTAACAGGCCCCGTGCTGTACTACACCATCTTTGTCATCCACAAGAGGGAGAGACAGAGACAGAATCCCAGCTAGGGGAGATGCGGGGTTGAGGAGAAAGCTGGAAGCCAGGGTCTCTTTTGCAGTGCAGCAGCAGTCTTGCTGTGTAGCCCAGGTTGGCCTTGAACTCTCTATCTTCCTGCCTCCACCTCCTAAGTACTGGGTTTACAGGTGTGCACCACCATGCCTGGCTCAGGGTCTGTTTGGGGGTAATTGGAAGGTCTGTGGTTGACTGTGGTGATGGGGGCACTGCTCTGTAAATGTCTGAAACCCCATGGATTGTGTGCATGCTTTAGTGGGTGGACTGTATGGCATGTGTTTCCTGGTCATTTCAGACTGCTATAGTAAAATACCATAAACTGGGGGCATATAAACAGCAGAGGCTTGTTTCTCACTGCTCTGAAGAATGGATGTTCAAGGTGAAGACACCAGAAGATGTGGTGTCCAGTGTGCACCGCCTCCTGGTTCACAGAGTGCCTGGTGGGGCAGGCAGTGAGCCGTTGGGGCCTCTGTTATAAGGCACTGATTCTGCTCACCAGGACTCCACCCATCCCCTCCTTGGTCCCAAAGGCTTCCTCCTGGTACCATCACATTAGGGACTGGATTTCAAAGTGGATTTCAAGGTACCTACCTATTCAGTCCATAACTTAAGGAAGTTGTTTAACAGGAAAAAAGGACAGGAAGAGCAATCTATTAGGGCCATTTTTGCCAAGCTTGTTCTCAAAACAAGCTTTGTGGTCTGGAGGACTTCATGGGGCCTTGCCTTCTATCGGTGGACACTGAGAGGCCACTTCTTGCCCTGGCCGCCTGCACTGTAATGGATGCCCCATTCACAGTACCTTGCACACATGTGGCTGTGTTTCTACAGGAGAGATGGAAAAGAAATCACGGCAGGTCCCATCAGGTGTGGCAGAGATTCACGCCCCTTGGAATGGTCACACTTGGACACTGGGCCATGTCCCCACAGTGCTGATCACAACACTGACCTTGGCCAGTTCCACTCACAGAGAATGGTGCCATGCCACTGTGTGGATGTGTGGATGGGCCCTTCTCCCACTTGTTAGACAGCTCACTAACTCACTACGCAGGAGGTGTGTGCAGGAAGATCTCTCTCTCCTCTTCTACCTCCAGCCCACTGGGTTGATGGCATCTGTGGCCCAGCCCACCCCTGAAGTCTTCATGCAGGCCCTATTTGAGGAAGCTGTTGCTCTGAGCAGAGAGGAGCCTGTGTGCTGCACAAACGAACATGTATGCACACTGCCTGTGCCTGTTCTCCCTCAGATGTGGGGTCTAGCATGTGTGCAAAACCTGTCCAGATTTGAGTGGTGAGTACCAGTCACCCTACCCCAGCCTCTGAACCTCTTCTTTCTCCTCAGGCATCTGTGGGCTCAGAGAATCTCTTTGCTCCAGCAGCTGACAAAGGTGAGCACATCCCCAGCCCAGTTCTTGGGTCTCAGCCCCCAGGGGCTGGCTGGATGAGGGCAGCGGAAACCTTGGGAGGTTCTGTTCACCCCTGTGGTGGGGACTGCAGCAGTGTGAGCTAGGGCGAAGGGTTGCAGTCACAGTGTGGGGAGCAGCTTTACCAGACCACCTGGAGACTTCCAGAAAGAATAGGTGGGCACTAACTAGCATACCACTGCCCCATCCAAAGGAGATGAGCAGAGGATAGACAGGTGCCAGGCCTGGGACAGGTGCCTAGTCCAGGTCCTTGAAGTACCTTGGGCTTGTCTATAAAGTGGGGTCATGACAGCCTCTACTCTGGGGTTGCCACAGGACCTAGAACTCTCACTGTGTGTAGTGGGAGGTACGGGAGACTGGCCCCCAGCAGGCCCTGGCTGTAACCTTGGATACACAGCCTTTCTGTGCCTGTACATTTTCCCATTGGATCCCCTGGTTGGCTGCCAAGAGCATTGGTGGGGCCTGTGCATTCTGGTTAGTGGCAAGTGGTGCAAGGACACACCTGCCCCACACCTGCCCTCTCTCTGCAGGCCCCACTAGGGGTGAGAAGTCTGAGGCCAAGGCGGGGGCGGTGCCCAAGGTGTCAGGCCTGGAGCGCAGCCGTGAGCTCAGCACTGATTCCTTCTTGCCGGCTCCTGCGCCCTCTGGGCCTCTGCCCAGTGCTCGAGCCAGCCCCCTGGTGAAGAGGGAAGTGCCAGCTGCACCCCACCACGCCCCTCAACCACAGCACGCAGCCCCACAGCCCCGTGGCTCACTCCCAACACACGTGCCTCCTTCCCTGGGCGCCTTCACAGGTCCCGGCCAGGTGGTGCCCAACGGCCTACACCTGCACGGCCTCAGGTGGGGAGAGGGCCTGGCCCTGGGGTTTGGGGAGCAGCCGTGGGACAGGGAGGGACCTGCAGGGCCTCAGGTGGGGAGATGGCAGGGCCATGGGGAGGAGAGGGGTCAGGGCGGGGCCAGGGGGTGAGGGAGGGGCTGGCACAGCCTCTGGTGGGGGAGCGGGCATGGCCATGGTGGAATTCAGTTCATAGGGATGCCGGGGCCAGGAGGTCAAACTGAATCCCATGTCCCACAGCAGGAGCAGCAGCACGGGCAGCGGTGCCCCTCTGGGCCTGGCAAAGCACGTGTCACTGTCGCAGCACGGGCCCAGTCCCCACCTCTCTACCTCACACCTGGCGCTCCGGTCCCAGGTGCAGCACCAGCACCACGCAGCGGCCATGTTCGCCGCCCCCCCAACACTGCCCCCACCCCCAGCGCTGCCTGCCAGCAGCCTGGTCATCCCAGGACACCCCGCCGGTAGGTGTCAGACCCAGGGTTCACTCTCAGCCACCGTCAGCTCCTGGGGCAGGGCAGAAAGCCCCTGGGAGGTGCAGAGCCTGGCCCCGGGCTGGGCTGACCCTCACCCCCCTCTGAGTAGCTGTTCTGGCCTCAGCAGGCTGGCCTCTCCTCAGAGCATGCACAGGTGGCAGGCAGCCCGGCTGGGCCTCTCACCTTCCCTGCCCCACCCAGAGGTCCCCGCCTCTGGTGGGAAACCCTGCAGGGTTTCTGCACTTCCCAGCCCACCCAAGCTGAGTCCTGTGGCTGAAGGCCCCCGAGGTTGGGGCACAGAGGGGTCAAAGCCTCTCCCTCCCCTGCCCACGACTGATGTCCACCCGGGTAGGACACTGGTCCTGGAGGCTTTCTGAAGTGCAGTCAGACCGCCCAGGCTGGGGCAGCCCGGTGTCCTGCATGGGACCGGGACGGGTCTGGAAGGAGAGGGCAAGGGCAGGGCTCACCGACTTCTCTCTTGCCTCTAGATGCCCGTCTGTTGCTCTCATTCAGCCAGCCAATCATGTATCGCCAGCCTCACTCGGGGATTCTGATTGGTACTTGGTCACAGGCTCCTCTCTTACCTCCACCCTTGGGCCCGCACGGCTTGGCCTGCCGAACCCGGGAGTGCCAGGTGACTATCTGCGTCGCCCCGCCGGGAGCCCGCGGCCGACGTGCCTCTCCGTCTCTCTCTCTTTTTCTCTTGTAGATCGCGAGCTGCTCAGGCAAGAGCTGAACACGCGGTTTCTGGTGCAGAGCGCGGAGCGGCCTGGCGCCTCCCTGGGCCCGGGGGCTCTGCTGCGGGCCGAGTTCCACCAGCACCAGCACACACACCAACACACACACCAGCACACACACCAGCACCAACACACATTCGCCCCCTTCCCGGGGCTGCCCCCGACGCCGCTCATGCCGCCCGCCGCACCCCCGCCGGTGCGTAGGCCCCTGTGCTGGCGGGGGGCGCGGGCGGGACCAGTGGCAGGCACACGCAGACTCACGCGCGCGCACACGCAGGCCGTGAGGGGTGGCACCTCGCTCGGCCCCAGAGCCCCGGTGCTGGGCAGTAGGGACTGCCCACGCCGTCCGCCCCCTGTCCTCCCCGTGACATGCCCTTGGGGCAAGCCGCACTCATGCTGGGGCCTCGGCAGGTGTTTGCAGCAGGACACCAAGGTCCTGTCCTGACACGACTTGGCCACAGGTCCCAGCCTGCACCCTCCCCATCCAGTGCTGTGTGGGGCCAGGTCCTCTGGCAGCAGCCTGGGTGTGCCCTTCAGCCTGCTCCCCACCCAGGGCTTCATGCCCTCCCCCAACGATGGCCTCAGGCTGTAGCAGGGAACCAGGAGGGGAAGAAGCTGCCCTGGGCCATGAGCCTGGGCCAAGCTCAAGGCCAGAGGCCAATGCTCTCAAGAAGCGTGGGGACAGCTGGCCATAGGCCGCCTGCTTTGGAAGGCACCACGGTCATCCTGGCCGCTGCCCAGTGGGTGGGTGCTGGGCCCATGAAGGGCGTGGGGCAGGTACTCGAGGCCTCACCTCCTCTCTCTTCCCTTCCAGTTTGACAAGTTCTCGCCCAAGCTGGACAGCCCCTACTTCCGACATTCCAACGTGAGTGAGCCCTGGGTTCAGGCCCGGTTGGGGGGACGGGGTCTGTGCTGCCTCCTGGTTGCGGGGCGGGGAGCCCACAGTCCAGAATGCTCTCTCTTTCTTGCAGCTCTTCCCGCCCTTCCCTCCCACCGGCCCAGGGCTGCCCGCCCTGCTTGCACACCCTGGCCCCTTTGGGTCCCTGCAGGGTGCTTTTCAGCCCAAGGTACCGCTGCTCCAGTGAGGGGGAGCATAGGCGGGTGGGGCTCGGGCGGGGCAGCAGGGCTATGGGAGCAGTTCCAGCCCACACAGTAACTGGGGCACTGGTGTGAATAACTGCTGCGGGGGCGGGGGGGTCTATCTGTAGCCTGCACGGCTGTGTCTGAGCAGGGCAGCAGCCCAGGCAGTACCCTGACATGGTGCCCACAGCCTTGCCCTGGAGGGAAGGAGTGGAAGGGCCAGGGTGCTGGGCAGGAGAGGTGCTATGGACCCCCTCCAGACAAGGAATATGTGTTTCATCTACCTTTGGCCCATTTGTGTGCACACAGTTCCCCTGAGGCTCTAGGGTGGAAACTGGGCTCTCGCAGTGAGGGTGGCCCATGCTCCCCAGTGTCAATACCAAGAGCCCCTTCATCTGCCTTTGGCAAAGTCCCTGACTTTGACTGAGGTGTGGTGTTCCTCTGATGGGACCCAGACTATCCCTGGGTGACAGCGTGCAAGGCCCTGTGTGCCTACCAAGGGAAAGGCCAGCCCAGAACTGCAAGGTCTCCTGCTCCCTGGCCTGGGCACCTCCCTCCACAGTGAAGTGGTCACTCACTTCTCTTCCTCCCTCTCTGCTTGCCCCCTCAGACTTCAAACCCCATCGAGGTAACAGGCCGGGCCAGTGCTGTTCACACCCTCCTGCAGAAAGCCCCTGGGGTAGGTGTCTGCCGTGTCCTGCCCCTTCCCCACATAGTCCAGCAGGATCATCCTGGGGGCTGAGTCCCACACTCCTGGGCTCCCACAGAGCCTGGACATAACCCCCTCCTCTCCTCTGTCAACCACAGGTGCCTGACCCGTACCGGACGGCAGTCAGGGTGAGTGTACACGTGTCGGGAAGTAGGCCCAGCAGCAGGTCCAAGGCTGACGCCGGGGGAGGACTCTGGCCTCTCCTGGATGGCCATGTGGCACCTGTGGCGGCAGGCATCTGGGGAAGACGAGGGCTGGGAGGTGGCGCTGACCTCTCTGAGTACATCTTGGTCCTGTCACAGAAACCCGGGAAGTGGTGTGCTGTGCATGTACAGATCGCCTGGCAGATCTACCACCACCAGCAGAAGATGAAGGTGAGGCCAGGCCAGGTGGCGCATGGCCAGGAGGGCTCCCAGGTGGGGCTAATTTGGGAGGATTCTAGGGTGCGGTCCAAGGCCACAGTGAGGGGCATGTAGAACCACCTGTCTGCAGCCTGGGACAGGCAGATGGTACAAGGCCAGGTGTGAACTCTGTGTTCATATGCAGGTACACAGGTGTCTTATGGGTGCAGGCAGTGGGTGAGGAATGATGAGAGAGAGTCCTTCCAAGAGGCCAGGACAGCCCCATGGGACCCCCCTTCCTCCAGCCCTGCTGTCACTGATTATCTCCTGATGCAGGGATCCTCCAGGTCATTGTATCTTAAAAGCACTTTAAAGAAGCCAACAGGAAGGGACTTGTAATAAAATACCATGCTTCTATATGCAAAGCCCACATGGGTGTCTACACAGCAGAGAGACCAGGCTGCTCTCCTGTGGGTTGCAGGGGGCTGGAGTGATGGGTGTTACCCACAGGGGGTTCCCAGTGACAGCAGTGCAAAGTAGGGGGACAGCCACTGCTATTTCCTGAGTGACCTTGTAGTGCCCTGGGGATCCAGGGCTGGGCTCCCCTAAGCTGAGGCCCACATATGCACACAGGGTCTGTCCAGCCCTCCTCCCTGCCCCACCTAGCACAGAGCACCACAATGTCATACTGACCAGGAAAGCTCCCACCCCTCTCCCTGTGCTGAACACTCTGCTTGGAGTTGGCAATGGGGTGGGAGGCATCAGGCCCATGTGCCGTGTGGGCTGGGGAGGGGCTCAGGTGAGGGACAGCAGCCCTCAGCCCTGTCCAGTGCAGCCTGGAGGGCAGGTGGTCCAGTTTTCTTTCATTTTAATAAACTCAGCTTTTAGAACGGATACCAAGTTGTATCATGGGAAAACTCAACCGTATTTGTAACAACTTAGGTCTGTGCATACGCTCTTTCATCTGAGTTTTACAAACTCTAAATGCAGGTAGAATACTTTCCATGAAATAATACATCCAAATTAAGATATGCTGTACATATAAAGAGCACCAGATCTCAAAGATAGAAAAAAGGCTGGGCAGGCATGGTGTCTCACAGCTGTAATCTCAGCTACTTGGGAGGCAGAAATCAAGAGGATCATGGTTTGAGGCCAGCCTGGAGAAAGAGCTCGTAAGACCCCACATGCTATGGTCGGGCATGGTGACAACTCCTGTCCATCCTGGCTATGCAAGGAGGACCACAGCCCAGGCCACCCAGTCACAAACAAAGACCCGATCTCAAAAATAACCAAACCAAGGCTAGGGACCCAGATCAGGTAGTAGGGCACCAGTCTAGCAATTGTAAAGCCCTGAGTTCAAACCCCAGGACTGCCAAAAAATAAAAGTGAAATATCTCGTGAATGACTTTCTGTTGCTGAATGTTGTGGCAACGTTTTTGTTTTCTTGAGTCAGATAAAACCTCATTCATACCACCTTACCACCTTCCCCTGGCTTGTTTGGGGTTACCAGAGTACACGTAGTTCCTTACACGGCCCCCACTGCGGTTTCCGGGCTGGGGGCTACAGGCAGGCTCCTTGTTGGCCCCGCCCCCACTGGCGGCCCCACCCATGCTCTGTCCTTCAGCAGATGCAGCTGGATCCTCACAAGCTGGAGGTGGGCGCCAAGCTGGATCTGTTCAGCAGACCCCCAGCCCCAGGCGTGTTCTCGGGGTTCCACTACCCGCAGGACTTGGCTCGGCCCCTCTTCTCCAGCACAGGTAAGACCAAGGGGCAGCTGGGATTAGGAGGCCCGAGCACTCAACACACTGTCATTTTTCACACCTACCACTCACTTCAGACCAAAGTCCCTGCAGTGCCCCAGCCCCTTCCCCAGAACCAACATAGGCCCCTGGGATCCCTGGTGCTGGTCATTTAAGGCCTTGTCCAAGGTATTCCATCTGGGCTCCTGTTCGCAGATCCTGGCCCAGCCCCGCAGGACAGCTTTTCTTTGAATGCAGACACCTCACGCCAAGCTGCCACATCCCAACCTTGCTCTTCTCAAATGCATGGCAGCACTGGGGTCCCCAGAACCACCAGGGTGGCTGACCCACCAGGAGGAACATGTCATCCTCAGTGACAGAGCAGCCAGCAGAGGGGAAGGCATAGGGCTGAGGTGGAGGTGGAGCAGCATGAGCTTCACTACCCAGCAAGGAAGTGCTGCCTGCCAGGGAGGCCCTTTGCAAAGAGATGTGGTGCCCAGGGTCTGTTGGGAACACCTCTGCCATGCTGGGCCTGAGCCCCAGGGAATGCACTCTGGGTGCACCCTCTTCTCAGCCATGGTGTGGTAGGAACCTCCTGAAACCCAGAATCTGAATCCAGATGTTACCAGAGGCCAGGGAGAGCTACTGCTCACTGAAGATGGCCTTTTGGGCCTGTGAGCACATGTGCAGCGTATGCGTGCACACTTGCACGTGCACACACGTTTGCACACAGACTGCTCCCGCCCTCTCTGCAGAGACCAGTGAGGTCTCTGAGGCCTGGCCCATCTTCATCCCCCACAATCTTCCTTACTCCCCTGTCTTCTCAACACCAGGCACATGTCGCCCCACATAAGGGTGGGGCTGTCTGTTCGTGTCGCCCCACATAAGGGTGGGTCTGTCTGTTCGTCTCTGGACCATGCAGCATGCTGGAATGACACGTGTGAGGAGCATTCACCCATAGTGGGCCTCACAAGTGTAGTAGCTCTTTCCATCCCCCGCTCTATCCTCTTCATGGTCTTGGCTCCTCTGTAGGTAGAGGTTCTCCTAATGGCCAGGAGCCTAACTGGAGCCCCAAGATGCACCTCCAGTGTTTGCTGGATGCCAAATACTGTGCTGGCCTCATTTCAGTCCCTGGTTCCTATCTCAGTGCAGCCTCCCAATGGGAGGCCCATAGTGTTCCTTGCTCACTTCGCTCTTCCATAAGAACCTAAACCTGCCTCCTAGGGTCCACCAGAAATTCAAGGTTCTTCCTGGGATTGGGTTGAAAGCATATACAGAGGAGAGAAATTCATTCTTTTCCTGCCCACGAACAGTGAACACCCCCACATTTGTTTAGGACTTACAGAGTTACTCCTGTATGCTATGGATCTTACTATTATTATTTTTAAATTTACATTTCTTAATGGGTTGTGGCTGGAAAACAGAAGTACGTATCTGTTTTGTGGAATTGTGCGTTATCTTGGTTCTGTACCTCACAGTCTTGCTAAATCCTGATCCCTGGCATCTGTGGTGTAGAAACTGTCTCTGTAGGTGATGACAGATGACATCATTGGGTCCTGTCTCTTGATAAACTACAGGCCCAGTAGCTCTTCATATTGCCTACCCTCGCCTCTCTGTCCTCTCATTAATCTTGCCAGGGGTGTGTCTGTTTCACCAAAACTTTAAAAGCAGCAGCTTTTGACTGGCTGTGTTCTTCCTGGTACTTTTGTTTCCTTGCAGTCCTTTGCCTAACTTGAACTGGGTGCTTAGAGGGTTAATCTGCAGCCTTTCTCATGGTGTGTGCATTTAAGGCCATCCATTTCCGCTCCCCTCCCAAACTGCTCTGATACATTGGATTCTGCCTTGATGCTCTGATTTTGGTAGCTTTGGGTGGCTGTTTTCCATGTCTAGTTGAGAAATGTGGGTTTACTTCATGTTGGGATTCAGTGCCTACCTTCAGCAGCCCACAATGGGAGCCCCACCTCCTAGAATGAACAATGTACCCTTCACGTGCAGATGGATCCTGCCTTGAAGCACTGGGTCCTCTTTTCAGCCTCCCTTAGGCCCCACTGACCACTCTCCACACTTGGTTCTAGAAGCCTCCGGGGTTGGTTGTTGGTGGGGCCAGTAGAGATGCCATGGTGACACTTGTGGGCTGGGCCCTATGTCCAAGGGACTCCACAGAAGGGGCTGCCACATTCAGCACCTGAGACTCCAGCCAGTGTCTGTAAGGACCTAAGATCTGACCTCCTGCCTTGAGTATCCAGGATCATTTCTGACCCATAGGTTAGCGCCTCAAGGTAACTGGCCTCAGGAACAGCACCATCTTGGCTCACTCCCACTGTACCCAAGTCTTGGCCCTTTACTCTGAGGGCACCACTTTAATCAGCACCACTGACCCAGTCCCCCAAGAGGTCCCAGATAGCTGCCTCTGCAGCCAAAGTCACATGGCCTCCTGATCTGGGGAGGAGACTGAATTCTACCTCCTGACTGGACACACCTTCACTCCATAGTAGGGTGAAGGCGAGAGAATGGGTAGAGGTCCCCAGAGATAACTGTTGCCCCCACCTTTCCAGCAGGTAGGAAGCCCCGGGTATACCCTCTGGGGCTCTGTTAACCCGGTTACCCTCCACCCAGGTGCCACCCATCCGGCCACCAACCCATTTGGACCCTCAGCCCATCATGGCAGCTTCCTGCCCACTGGTCACCTGACAGGTGGGTGTCCCTGAGGCCCATGCCACCTGGCTTCCTCATCAGACTTCAGGGCTGGAGAGACATGAGTGGGTGGGAAGGTGGCCGATCGTATCCCTTGGATAGCATCTGTGGCACTTGCCATGCCGAAGGCCTCTGGGGCTTGGAAATCAGGTGGGAGTCCCTGCCACAGCTGTACAGGCTCCTGAGCCCCTATTGTCCCTGCAGACCCGTTCAGCAGATCGAGCACCTTCGGGGGCCTGGGGAGCCTGGGCAGCCACGCTTTCGGAGGTCTAGGCAGCCATGCGCTAAGTGAGTGATGGACACCCCTACAACCGCCCCTTTCTGGTTGCACCCTGACCTCGCTCTCTGGGTTGGGATTTCTCACAGCCCCTGCCAGTTGGGGAGTGTGGCAGAGGAAGGGCATCCTGCCTGCCTCACGCTTCCCACCCTCTGCTTCCACCTCCCACCCCAGCTCCAGGGGGCAGCATCTTTGCCCCCAAGGAGGGTTCCACACTGCATGGCCTGCCCAGCCCCCACGAGGCCTGGAACCGGCTGCACCGGACACCACCCTCCTTCCCCACGCCACCCCCATGGCCCAAGCCCGTGGATGCCGACCGTGTCTCAGCCCTGACTAACCACGACCGGGAGCTGGAGAAGGGCAGGGAGGAACGCGAGCGGTGAGTGGGCTGCCTCCCACTTCCCGGGCCCTGGTGTCTTTCACGCAGCATTGTGCAGAGACAGGACGTGTAGCTCTGCACCCCACACCTTGTCCATAGAAGCCAACCAGGGAGAGGTGGCTGGAGGGCAGAGATGCAGCTGAGGGCCGTGTTCAAAAGACCTGCTGGGACTGGGGGTGCAGCTTCTTGGTAGTTACTACCCTAGCCCTGCGTTCAGCTCCTGCACTACCAAAAAAAATCCTTGGCTTAGGTGGAAGCAGCCAGGAGGAGCTGCCTCCCACAGGTAGAGGCACAGGCCTAGAGTCAGCCTCAAAGTGCCTGCTGTCTTCCCAGATTTCTTGGCATCTGGCTGCAGGGTTCCTGTTGGTTTGGGAGAAGCTGCCACTTGTGTTTCTGTATTAAATTTGGTGAACAGGATGTAGAAGCTACAGGAACAATTCAGTCACCCTGGTCTCCTCCCAGCCCTTTACAGGTGTGCAGCCTGCCTGCCTGGGTAGATGCAGGTGCAGGGTCAGCGCCCAGGCCTCAGCTTGGTGGAAGTGCAGCACTGCCCTCAGGCCCAGGGGACCTTGCCCAGCTCCCCTTGTAGGTGTTACAGTACACCCTCTCCCCACTGTCCCCAGAACCCTGAATCTGGGGTGTCTTCTGCAAGTGTCAAGTGGTGGGTAGGTGCCTGTCCTGGTGGAGGTCAGGGAAGACCTTTGAGGAAGCAGCTGGACCTTGAGGTCCAGAGAAAGGCTTGGAAGCAGGAATGCACCTGGGGTTCTGCCCGGATGTGGGGTGGTCCCACAAATTGAGCTGCTAACTTCAGGGTTGGGGTAACCAGTGTCTTGGAGCCCCACGGGGAGTCCACCCTCTGGTTCTGGTTCGGCAGCCTGGTGGCAGTGTGGCGAGCTGTGTGGCCAGTCACTTCGGGGAGGGTAGCAGGGGTGCGGCTGGCACTGGGCAGGATCCCAGGGTGGGGCGCTAAAGGACCCCACACAGCAGGGAGCTTGAGGTCCTCGGAGCTTGGCAAACAGCTTTCTCTTCTCTGCCCTGTCGCCCCCAGGGACCTTCTGGAGAAGACGCGGCTGCTGAGCCGGGCCTCGCCCGCAGCCCCGCTGGGCCACCCTGTCGGCGGCCTCCTGCTGCGCAGCCAGGGCGAGCTGGGCCGACCCGGGGCCCCCGCGGAGCGCGAGGCTGAGCCCCGGGTCAAGGAGAGCCACTCGCCCGCCAGGGAGGACGGCGCCAAGCTGACCGCGCGCCCGCCGTCGCCTACAGCAAGGCGGCCCTGGGCGACTGCCTGCGCCTGGCGGGCCTGCTGGGCCGCGCAGCCGGGGAAGCCGCCGAGACGCCGCCCGAGCGGCCGCAGGGCGACGTGAAGGTCAAGGAGGAGGCGCAGGGAAGATGAGGCGCCCCCCGTGCCCCTGCAGCTGGGCCTGGGCCTGGGCCGTGAGCGCCTGGGCACGTCCGGCTTCGCGTGGGAGCCGCTGCGCGAGGCCTACCGGAGCCTGGAGCTCCCGCGCCGCGCCTTCCCCGCCACGCCGCCCGCGCCCGGCCGCCGCGCCCTTCGAGCCCGCGGAGCGCGCCTACCGTGACGCGAGCCGCACGACTACAGCCCCGAGCGCCTGCGGGAGGCGCGCCTGGAGGAGCTGGAGCGCGCGCGGCCCGGGCCCGGGCCCGACGGGGGCCGCGCTGCTGCCCGCGCTGCACTTCCCGCGCCTCCCCGCCGCGCTGCACGGCGCGCTCCTGGCGCGGACCCCGCCCGCCGCCGCGGCCCTCGGCGCGCCGCCCCGCTGGTGGCCGCGCCCGGGGTCCCCACGCCGCCCGCGCGCCCCAGGACTACGCCGCTGGCGCTCGCGCCCGGGGAGGCGCGCGACTACTCGCCGCCGCGCAACCCGCAGCAGGTGGAGGCGCGGTAGGGCCGCGCTCTGCACGCGAGGACTGAGCACGGGCCCCGCCGCCTGGGGCCACACGGGAGCCTGCGCAGTCCGGACGTCCTGCCTTTCTGGGGCGATCTTTTGTTTCGAGATTAGGCCACTGCGGGAAACTCAACTTTGTACCTTTTCCCCACAGGTGAGAAGCGTTTTTAATGGTTTTGTATTTTTCTTAATTTTGTGCTCTTTAGACATTTAAAAGAACCAAAAAAGAACTTTTAGTTGGGATTTGCAGTTCTACAGCCTCAGATCCCTTTTGAGCCCTCGGGTCTCTTCGTCTTATTTATGGGAAGAAAACAGTCTTTCCGTCCAGCGCACTGTGAGGCTCCCACTGGGCCCGGCCCAGGTCCTCCCGTGGTACTTGGAACCGAAGTTACAGATATATATTAAAATAATAATTAATAATAATAAAACTCTGGGGGTTTTGCCTTATTCTATTATGCAGAAGTGTAAGAGGATTTTTTTTTTTTTTGGTTTGTGTTTTTTTTTTAATGACAAGTGTAAATAGTCTGTTAATATAAATATAAGACATTATTAAATTCTTAACCTGGGTAGTCTTTATAAAGTTTCCAGAAACCCCTCTGGTTATTTAACAAGGTCACAGAACCCACTCGCTGTCAGTTGTAAACAGGCTCAGAAGTTGACTGTTGCAGTTACCCTTCAACTATGCAACCCTTCGCCCATCTGGGGGGAGAAGGTTCCGGAGTGACTTCAGCCCTTGCAGCACACAAGTGCAGGCTGCCCTGGGAGGGCCTTTGTCCTCCAGGTCCCGGCCCTGGGACCAGGGACTCTCCTAGGCATCTCCTGCTCACAGTCACAGTGGGCTTCAGGATTGGCTGGTTCTAGCCACAAGGACAAATTTGTGAACCCTTGTGCTGCACTGAGTGCAGCATTCTCTGAATCTGTGTGCCAGACAAGTAGAATATTAGAAGCGCAAGAGTCTAAAAGTTGGGTTTACAAGAAAGAAAAAAAAAAAAAAAGCTCTCTCAAGCATGTCTCAGTGCTGCCCCCACCTTCCATGCTTCGGCATGGCTCCCTCTGGCTTTGATTCCGCTCCCACAGCCTCTCAAGCTCTCCATGTGCTGTCAGCTTGGCCTCTTTGTTTTCCTGATGTCCACTTTTGTCTGTGGGCTTCAGAGCCTGTCAAGTCAGCATTGCCGTCTGCTGTTTCCATTCTTGCTTTCAGCGCTGTGTTTCCACCGAGGACTCCGGTTATTTTAAACATTGTTTTCATGTCAATCAGTGAAGATAAATACAGCCTTGATTTGGATGAAATGTGGTCCAGTGTCTTGTGTGGTTCTGAGGCAGGTGGCCATCCTGCAGGCCTGGGTTGACACCCACACTACCTGCGTCCCATCCCAGGGCCCAGGTCTGCAGAAGCCTGGACATCACCCTGTTGGTCAGGCTTTGCTTTTCTTTTCTTTTTTCTTTCTTTTGGTGGGACTGGGCTTTGAACTCGGTTCAAAGCAGGTCTCTATCGCTTGAGCCACACCTCCAGCCCATTTTGCTCTGGTTATTTTGGAGATGGGCTCTCATGAACTATTGGCCAAGCTGGCCTCGAACCTCAGTCCTCCCGGTCTCGGCTCCCAAGCAGCTAGGATTACAGGCGTGAGCCACAAGTACCGGCTTGTGTGTCAGCCTCTTGTCCTTGCTGCCCAGCCCCCTTGCCACGGTTCCCTCCACACAAGAGCTGTGCTGTTACGGCGCCTGTGACTGGACAGAACACCCTTCCATCTCTGTGTGGGATTTCACCGGCTGCAGATCTGGACCTGACCTGAGTACCCTTGGGCCCCGAGTGGCATTTCTAGAACATCACTACTGGATTCCCTCAAACCTGCTCTTCTCTGAGTTCCCATCTTTGTGCAGGGGATGGCACCACAAAGAACCAGATGCCGTTGGCTGAGGAAGTCCAGAGGGCATGTGTGGGTGAAAGGAGGGGAAGAGCCTGGCCCTGTGTGGTGAGCGCAGCTGTCTGCCCTTACACAGTGGGGCCCAGGACCCACAGCAGGTCTGACCTTGACTTGGGCGTCACCATCTATCCCCCCTGGGGCTGGGAGTAGAGTCCTGACATGTCACCTGGCCGTCCTGAGCAGTCCGAGTTGTTGTGGCTGCCCAAACCTGAGAACCAAAGCCTAGTGAGCGTGGTGACGATGTGGAGTGGGTGGCAGGAGGGGGCACCTCTGTGAACCCCAAGGAATGAGCCATTGTCTAGGTCAGCCCTTCAGCCACACGGCTTCTCCCTGGATCAGTTCCCAGAATCAGGCAGCTGGGCCCTCACCTGCCTTTCTCGTCTTGCCCTCCCCATGATGGTTCTCTGCCCTCCTGGGTTCACCAGTGACCCAACTGGGATGGTCTAAACACACAGCACTGCCAGATACCTCCAGAGCAGCAGCTGGAAGCCCAGGAACCATCCCAAGAGGCAGGTGGGGGTGGACGGCAGGTTAGGGTCATCTCACCTGTGAGCCAGGGATTCATGTGGAGTGCAGTGCCGGAGCTAAGGCCAAAGGACAGCACATCAAGCCGTGTGTGTGTGTGTTGTGTGTGGTGGTGTGTGTGTGGTATGTGTGTGGTGTGTGTGGTGTGTGTGGTGTGTGTGTGGTGTGTGTGTGTGGTGTGTGGTGTGGTGGTGTGTGTGTGTGTGTGGTGTGTGGTGTGTGGTGTGTGTGGTGTGTGTGTGGTGTGTGTGTGTGTGGTGTGTGGTGTGTATGTGTGTGGTGTGTGTGGTGTGTGTGTGTGTGTGTGGTGTGTATGTGTGTGGGTGTGTGTGGTGTGTGGTGTTGTGTGGTGTGTGTGGTGGTGTGTGTGTGTGTGGTGTGGTGGTGTGTGTGGTGTGTGTGTGTGTGGTGTGTGTGTGTGTGGTGTGTGTGTGGTGTGGTGGTGTGTATGTGTGTGGTGTGTATGTGTGTGGTGTGTGTGGTGTGTGTGTGGTGTGTATGTGTGTGTGTGTGTGGTGTGTGTGGTGTGTGTGTGTGTGTGGCGGGGGGAGGGAGGAGGGAATCGCCTGTGGGAAGAGTGAGCGAGGCCTGAACAGAGGGGCTGCATCCCCAACAACACTTCCAGCTTACAGGTGCTTCGGGGCAGGTTTGGGAAGGGGCGTAATGGGGCCCCTCTTTCCTCAGCATCTGAGAACAGAAGACTGAAAGGCTAAGGCAGGGCCAGCTTGGTGTTTGCCCATGTGAGCCCTGCATCAAGCACGTCCGATGGCCAGGCAGGCTCCATCCCATACGGAGCCCCAGGCGGCCTCAGAGTCCAGGCCCCAGCCCCAACCTTCCTGGAAAACCCCGTGGACCACACTCCAGCCTCCTCCTCTGTGAGGGACCCCGCGGACCAGGCCAAGGACCTGGAGACCATATGCCATCTCCACCAACACAGTGGCCACTTCCAAGATTCCTCTCTGGGATGTGAACCATAGGTGAACAGGTGTCTCCTGAATATGTCCCCCACATGCTTCGTGGGTGCTGAGGATGGGGGGAGCCTGGGAGCCCCTGCATATGTTCCTGTGGAGCCCTAAGCAAGAGTGTCCAGCCTCCGCCAGGTGGGTAAGGGGTTGCTTCTGCATGACTGAGAAAGGCCTCAGCCCGAGGGTAACTTCTCAGTTTGTTTTTTTTGGAGACATTCTTGTTTTCTGCATAATTCTTCACTGCCTTCGTGGGTTCATACACCCTACTACCAGGGATGGCAGACAGGAGAAGCAGTGGTTAGCGACCATTGAGGCCAGGAGCTAAGATCCATTCCTGGTGTGGTTTGTGGTTGCTGGCATGTGGTGACAATAAAAAGCGACCGTTAGTTTGTAAATTGTCTACAGACAGCTCGCTGGCCCACTGTCAGAGCCAAGGCTCCTGGGGCAAGGCCGACCCTGTGTCCGCCTGCTGCCTTGCTTTGGTGAGAGCTGGGGGGTCGTGGAGTTGGCGGGAACTGGAGCTCAGAGACACCACAGCTGGTTTCTGGAGCCGATGCTCAGGACTTCAGCCCAGGCTATGGGTGTAGAAGAGTCCATCCCCACAGGTGACCCCTTCTAGGTTTGGCCTTGCTTTGGGCCACCCTTTGCTGTGGTCCCTTTAAGCAGTTGTGTCCTCACAGCCTTCTGGAAATGGCTCCAGCAGCTACAGGCAACCCTGGGGACGAAGGAAAATGGCGTTCCCAGCCCTGCACCAATTCCTCACTTCCTCCAAGGGTTGCTTGCTCTGGCCGTCCTCAAGCACATCTTCAATGGTGACACGAGGCACGAAAACAGGCCAGCTCCACAAAGAAGGCTCTACTTAAGGAATGGAGTGTCTGAAGGGCCCAGAGGGAAGGAAGGCTGAGTAACATGGCAGCCGTCAGCTCAGCTCCCACGTCACCAAAGCCAAGTTCCCTGAGTTTCTTTCCAGAGTGATATGTTCAAACTGCAGGATGCAGGCCACAAATTGACCATGAAATTCATTTAGCATTTCAAAGATGATTAAATAGTGCAGAAAATTCAAGGCATATTTCATGTAGTCAGAAAAAAGATAGCTTCTTTTTTTGTTTTTGTTTTTTTGTGTTTTTGCAGTACTGGGGTTTGAACCCAGAGCCTACAGCCTGAGCTACTCCACCAGTCCTTTTTTTGTGAAGGTTTTTTTTGGGATTGGAGCTTGTGAACTATTTGCCCAGGCTGGCTTCGAACCACAATCCTTCTGATCTCTGCCTCTGGAGTAGCTAGGATTACAGGTGTGAGCCGTCATTGCCCAGCCAAAGATGGCTTCATGGAGCTTTTGTTTCAACTGTCCATGTGCATGTATGTGTGTGCATATGTGTACATATGTATGTGTGCATGTGTGTGTGTACACGTGCATTGTGTGTATGTGCTGAGGGAAAATTACAAATGCGTGTCCTATTGTGGGAATAATAAAGTTTGAGAGTCACAGCCTCAGTCTCTGTTAGGGTGACTCAGCTCCCAACACCTCCCAGCTGTTCATAATTCCCAACTCCTGGAAGAATCTGATGGGCAAAGCTCTAGTGATGTGGAGAACAGAAGGTGAAAGTGCCCTGGGGGGTGAGGCAACTGGGATTGGAGGAGCAATGGAGCAGAGTCCACTGCAGCCCACACTGCTGTCACAATGTGGATCTGACATTTGAGGGCTGTGGTAAGAAACACACCCTAAAACAAAGATGAACTCCATACAGTGGTGTCGTAGCCATGCTTACCTCATATAAAAAGTAACTATAGTGCCTTGATTGAAGGAATTTAGATGGATGGATGGGTGAATGGTGGCTGGATGGATGGATGGGTGGATGGATGGGTGGATGGATGGAGATGGGTGGGTGAATGGTGGATGGATGGATGGATGGGTGGATGGATGGGTGGATGGATGGAGATGGGTGGGTGATGGATGGATGGGTGGATGATGGATGGATGGATGGGTGGATGGATGGATGGATGGGTGGATGGATGGATGGGTGGATGGATGGATGGATGGATGGAGATGGATGGGTGGATGGATGGGTGGATGGATGGATGGATGGGTGGATGGATGGATGGAGATGGGTGGGTGATGGGTGGATGGATGGATGGATGGGTGGATGGATGGATGGATGGATGGGTGGATGGATGGATGGATGGATGGAGATGGATGGGTGGATGGATGGATGGATGGGTGGATGGATGGATGGATGGATGGGTGGATGGAGATGGGTGGGTGATGGATGGATGGGTGATGGATGGGTGGATGGGTGGATGGAGATGGATGGGTGGATGGATGGGTGGATGGTGGATGGCGGGGTTGGGGGTATGGGTAGGTGGATGGCTGGGTACATAATGGATGGTGAGTGGATGGTGTATAGACAGGTGGGTGATGGATGGATGGTGGGTGGCTGAACATCTTTGCAGAGCGGTTTCTCTCCATTGCATTGCTCAGACAGTACCTGCTTCAGAGTGCAGAAGGAAAGCCTACAGTCGTGTTCCTTTTTAGTCTCAGTCCTGGCCATTCTATGAATGGAGGATTAAAGACACCTGCTCCCCAAACCACAGTCCCTGACCACAAGCTGCCTGCAAGCTGAAGCCTCCAAGCTTCTGGCTGAGCACAGAAAGTGGACTGTGAAAAAAAAAAAAGAAAATGCACTGTGTTTTCACCTTGTGCACCCCAGCAAGCCTGCTGTCCTGAGGCCCCAGTGCTAGCTAGGGTTTCATCTCCCAATGACTTCCACACAAGACCCAGGCGATGAAGCCCCAGCATCTCAGACACTGCTGGCCTCCAGGGGCACAAGAAAAGAGGATGATGATTCACACTCTGACCTAACACTTCCCATGGAGCCACCTGGCCATGGCTGACGTGGTGAGCAGTGCCTCCCAGCCTCACCCAGGTCAGTCACAGGGGCCTCACCACTCAGCCCAGGGAATGTGATAACTCAGTTTTCACCACACCTGTTAACTTAGAACTTGCCATATAATACAGACCCCACTAAGAAATCAGGACTTGAATTTTCACTTGTGTGTGGCGGCGGGGGGTGGGTGA